TTGAAAGTGCGAGTTGAAAGCCTCACCGACAGCTTTGGCAAGAACCTACACTGAAAGGAATGTTCCGGGACAATCTTGGCTGACCGTTGCCCTCCGAGAGACGCCGGACGCACAAGTGTCATACATTTTGGGGGGGAAACAAAAAACAAACAAAAGAAGAGAAAAAAATGTATTCCTGACTTGTCCGCTTTGTCAGCTGACTTGGAAAAGACTTTCTCCACCGAGGCCCATTCCCAAAGCAGCCCCCCCCACCCCCCACCCCCTATATTCTCTTCAAACCCGCCTCCTGGCTCTCCGTGGCCTCTAATTGCACACACACACACGCACAAAATAGAACCAGACTGTTTTCCTTTCAAAGGCAGCACAGAGAGGCTTTTTCTTCCTTTTGCGTCTCACATTTCGCGTCCACCACCATCCTTCTTCACCTTCATCCATCCTCTTCCTCCCTCCCTCCCTTCCCTCAATCACACAAGGAATGCCCGACGCATTCTTTCTCCGGATCGCAACGGGACAGCATCTCCATCAAATGGGATTAGCGGCAGCGAGAGGAGGTGGAGGAGAGGGTAGAGGAAGCACTTTGAGAGTTTTGTTGTGAGAAGGAAAGCAAACAAAGCGGGACGCCGCCTTGGTCGAATCCAAATCACACAAACGCAGGAAACTATTTCAAACTTCATCAAAGTGGAAATCACGGCGCAGCGGCAGTCACACAACTTGAATCCGCAACTTTTTCGTCCCAAAGCGAGCGATTCCAAAACCGTTTTACCTTGGAGCCCTTGGCGTCCTTTCCAGTGCAGGAGCGTGCTGACGTCTGCGGCCCTGCCAGGTAGGAGCGACCTATATAGAGAGCGCTCGGCGGCCCAGACGGTGACAGACGCGCTCTGACTCCCTCCTTCTCTCTTTCCCTCAGCCTCCCGCCCTCCGCATGAGTCAGGCTGTCTGCCAGGCAGGGCCTCCTCCTCCTCCTCCTCCTCCTCTCTCTGCCTTCACAATAAAAGAACTTTCAGAGTAAAACCGCTTCCCTGCCATGTCTCCTGTCACTTGACTGTCTTTGTCTTGGAAAAAAAAAAGGCGTAGACGGTTCAACATCGATCGAACTATGGGAAGAAAATCCTCATGATCCAAAGCATACCACATCATATGTCAAAACGTATCTAACTGCCTCGAGATAGAGAAAAAAAAATCATTCTCTGAATCATAGCGTCTTATCTATCCAACATCGACTGGAGCTGCCGATGGAAAATAAATCGGGCGGGATCCAAAGCATACCACATCATATGTCCAACTACCTACACATCGAAAACGGAAAGGCTCGTGATCCAAAGCGTACCTCATCACATCCTCAAAGCACTTTCAGAGTAAGGAATCTTCCCTGCGATGTCTCCAGTCACTTTGCCGTCTTTGTCTTTATAAAAGGGGCGCAAATAGGATTCCGTTTGACGGGCGACAGCGTCATAATGGAAGACCGATTGAGAGTGTCGTTCTCAAAAGTATCATGTGACACGAGGGGACCGTCGCCAAGACACATGAGTCGTCCTTTGGCCCTCTGAGGGTGATTGTGTAAGAAACGTAACGGTTTTATGTGACCCACGCTGCACTTTGAGCCGGCGTCACTTTCATTGAGAAGAAGACAAAGCTTGAGCTCCCAAAGGGAATGAAATGTTCCAAAAATGTAAGGAAAGAATCGCTCGTGATCCAAAGCATGTCACATCAATTTGACGAAAGCCCTACTCATGATCCACAACAACTTGGAAGAGTCCTCGGCGGCCTAATTGATCTTCTTGGCGGCTTTCCTCCCCTGCACACCTCTGATACCAGAGAGCCCGGTGCAGGGACTACCCAGGGAATCCCCTTCAGCCCACTTCAATTGGCTGGCAGCGGGCCCTCCTCGCGTTTGCCCAACAGGACTCAACAAGCTCTGAGAACTTTGCCTCCTTCCATTCACGGGCCTCCTCGATCTTCGCTTTGTAGGGAACGGTGAGTTCAAAGAGCACCGCTTGCCTGGAGGACTCCAGATGTTAAAATCGGGGTCTGATCTGAGTGCAGATGTAGCGCTGTCATGATCCAAAGCATACCACATCATATGGCCAACTATTGTCTTTCGTAAGGAATGAACCAAAAACGAGCATTCCTTGTTCTGATTGTTACCAGGTGATAACATTCTGCTTGAGAACACACACATACACACACACACACACACACACACACACACACACACACACACACACACACACACACACACACACACACACAAACAAATAAATCTAATGCTGCGTGAAAGCCAGCGACCTTTGCAAAAGCATGGAGAGGGATGATTACTTCTCAATGTCCACCGAACTGCATGTGTCCTGTATTCAGTTTCTCACCGTTTAAAAAAAAATACAATCCCTTTGGGAATGACTCATTTCTATTTGTGTGTCGAATCCCTTGACGCTTTTGGTCTTTTCCAGCCTGTTGATGAATCAGTGTTGATGGATATAGATGAGAGGGGGTGGGGGTGGGTGGTGGGGGGTCCAAGTGGATGTCTGTGTGAGTGTGTATTGGGGGAGGGGCGCGTTCGGGGTCAATATGTCAAAGTGACTGGGAACCGGGGTCTCGGCGTCATTGCCGTTGGTGACTCACGACAGTCGACAAGAGGACAGACAAAAGTGTAAAACGTCCGAATTGATCAGACGAGCAGCTGCAAACAGCCATGACACAAGAATACAGTTTCAGATCTGGATTATATCTTTGATTTAGATTCACAACAGAATCAGGACCTGGCGGACAAAGTTAACATGATAAGTGAGGGTGAGGCTAATTGACGACTGTTGCTCGAATGATTGGCAACTAATGGCAGAGAAGTGCTTTTTAAACACGTTCTGAAATGATTTATAGTCCTCATTTGGATAAAATGAGATTTTTTTTTTTCCCTCCGCACTTATCTGTGTGTGCCGTTTTCCGTGTTTAGCATACCGGAACGTTCTTTCCGGGGAACCCCGTCGTCTGCTGTCTGTGAACGGACCGTTTAGTTTCCATGCTGTCAACTCCCTAACATACGAGTCCATTCAGGTCTTACGTGACCCGCTTCCATCCCCCATCGCCCCCCTCTCGGTCCTGCGAAGAAGGTCAGCTCCGACAGCTCTCTTCCTTTTTTGGAAACTTTCTCCATTCCATGCAGGTCATTCTAGCTCGACCGGCCAATTGGGTGGCGAGTTGGCCTGGCGTCTCAGCCAATCCCAGGCCTCGCATGTCCATTTAAGGACTGCCCATCTCACAACAAAAGAGGCCAACGGGACATGAATATGATTTTTCTTGACTCTCGTTCAGCTTTTGAACACCACCCCCACCCCCTCCCGTCTCAGGCCTCTTTCCGTCGTCTTCCTTGAGGAAAGCGAGCCGCTCTCACTTTCGCTTGCTGGCGGAACCACACATGCTGCTGATTTTGCAAAGCCAACCGCAAACAACACCTCAGCGAGGGAGCCATTGTTAAGACTTCATTAGGGAGTTGATTACTTCCACTTCCACAAACACGCCGTGAGTCAGGGCGCAGTTATTTCACCAATGCCTGGCAGCCGAAGTCTTGATCAGCAACACGACGCTGAATGTTTTCAAATTTTGCCATCGGCAAAAAGACAGTCTCGCACTATATTCCTTTGATATGTTTGAAATAAATCCTTAAATAAAGAGGGCAATAAGGAACCGGATTCAAACCAGAATGTCAAATCATTCGCAAATGGTGGATCAGAACGCAGGATCAAGATTGAGATCAGAATCGGGGTCGGGATCAGGGAAAAGAGTGCGATCAGAATAAAGACGTGAATCAAGAATGAAATGAAAATCTGAATCAGAGCCAGTATTAGCATCAGTACAGAGAATACAATCAAGACCAGAATCAGGACTAAAATTGTGTTCGGAGCCAGGATAAGGAATTAATAAAATCAAGATTGAGTTCCGAATAAGAAGCAAAATCAATCAGGATGAGACACAAGATCAAGATTGAGGATCGGAAATGGGACCAGCATGAAAACCAGACCCCTAACTCCACCAAAAAAAAAAGCAACAGAATCAGATTCTTTTTCTTTCTATTCCAGTTTTATGCATTACGTAACTCATTTTTTGATCACTATAGTAACCTTTCCTTCGGGTGGCGAAAACATGAACAATCGCCAATTGAACGTCGATAAGAAGTACCGGTAATGATACCCAGATAACAGTTTTCCTCTTGCTATTGCTATGCTAGTGTTGAACCACGACTATGCGGGGGTTCACCGTAAATACACATGCGGGGGGCAGCTGGTAGACGATCCTTTTTTAACCCTTTCACAACGCTATCAGGTCTCCCAGCGGCGCCTCCCTGGCGGCGGGTATGAACCCCCCGCCCCTCCCCACCACCCTCTCCCAGGGTGCAGAAAAGCGGCGGGGGCAGGTACTCACAGTTTTGGTTTGGGCTTGGTGGGAAGTGGCAGGGCCTCCCTCCCGGGGCTTGGGGACAGCTTTCCAGGGGTGGGAGGTGAGTCTGATGGAACCTGGTATGGAGCGTGGATTGGAGCGTGGTCAGATCGCCGAGGAGGGGGAGGAGGAGGAAGAGGAGGTGGGGGTGGGGGTTCTGAAGGTAGAGATGGCGGGGAGGCGGGTTGGCCATTGGGCACGCAGCTCATCTCATCATGCCTTTCCTCGGGCTCCGGAGACCACAGCTCTACTTCCTGAGGCGGCATCTTGGGTGGTAGTTCCAGCAGGCTGATCTCGGTGGGC